GAAAAACAGTTTATTCAATTTCCAAAACCTAAACTGAGTTTGGAAAAATGTAAAAGATAATAAAAACCCTGCGACCGACCTCATGAGCAGCTGGATACCACATGTCCATCTGTACGCAGGTATGCTTAATGGTTAAAATAAAGCTTAATACTTAAAGCTGCTTTTACTTTGTTTTGTGTGTTCTGTATGTAGATGTAGCTATGTTGCAACTTCTGGTTGCATTAGTCGTTGTTGTGATCGTTAACACTAAACTGGTTTTGTACAAAGTGTTTGTTATGCAATGTAAAGCTGAGAGCTACATCTGTAGCATCTTAGCTAGCGTGTCTGTATTGCACGCCACTAGCTTAGCGCTACTGTGCCCTGCTCTCTAAAATAGTTACTGAAGCAAGTATTTATTATGGAGGTAAACGTAGATGTTTAACACCCCCCCACCCCCACCAGTCCCCACCCACATTATGAATGCTTATGACGTCAATGGCCACCACGTTGTTCAAGCCTAGAGCCACTGTGAGCACTGGGGGCTGAGCACCCCTAACAGTCAGATTCTAGAATCGCCCCTGGTTGTCAGTAGCCCTTCAGTTGGTGCACGTTAGAAATCTGCGCAGTTCATCTTTGGTTTGCTTCACAGCTGACCTGCTTCTGCTTTTTGCAGCGGGGCTAATGGAAGTCTTTGTGAGCATGGTAAAGATTGTTGATGTTTCATTGTCAGGACCTTTTCTTGTAGACAGCTCATGAAGAAGAGACGTCTCCACCATCAGACTCTTCTCACAGAGGTCCTGAGGGCTCTCCGGAACAAACGGTTTGTGTTTCTGTTTGTCAGACTACCCTCAGGGTATTCGCCTGACGTCTGCGAACCCAGGAGGAGAGAGGAAGGTGTTGATCGTCTTCACGGCTCCGAGCCAGCAGGACCGAGCTCGCTTCACCTCCGACCTGCGAGAGAGCATCGCCGAGGTCCAGGAGATGGAGAAGTACCGGGTGGAGTGTAGGTGTTCCTGTCACAGCACTGCTCCTTTTCATGTGTTTATTTGGTCAACAGGGACCGTGCACGTTCATGAACATTTGAGAAGACAAGAAAAAGCTAAATGCTCCCAGCTGCAGGCATCAGCTGATTTCCAGTGTTCGTCTCCCGTCAGATGATCCAGACGTCACCGTCCTAACAAACAGATCATGACAGAAGTCCTTGTTCGTGCAACGATACCAAAACTAACAGGAACATGAAGAAAACCTTCCTAATATGGAGGCTCAGTGTTCTCCTACTTTTAGCTCCGCCCCCTGATCAGGGCGTCCACAACAAGAATTTGGGTTTAGGATGTAGACGGGGTAGAAACATGAAGAGAGGACGCTGAGCGCTGAACGACTGCTGAAACATGAAGAGTGGACGCTGAGCG